TATCTCACAGCTATTAGCATTAAATTCAGTGGTATATGGGAATAATGATTAGGAGTAACATTAGTGCAAAAAAGCATTACTGAGGATTCTATATGGTGTGAAATGGGAGGAGGCCAATGGTGAGGGGTGACACCATGAGTTACCACACTGGGTGATACCAACCCTAGGGATGCCACTAGCTCCAAGGTCAATTCACAGCTCCTTTAAAGCTCAAATTATAAAACTGGATTCACTATTTCTTCTTTTTTTAATTAAAAAAGAGAAATCCTGAAAAATCATCAAGGTTCGAATCCTGTCTCAGCCATGTGAACCCATTAGATGACCTTGGACAAGTCACACTTTGTCAGCCTCAGAGGATGGCAATGGCAAACCCCATCTAAAGAAACTTGCCAAGAAAACTCCATGACCCTTAGGGTTGCCATTAGTCAGAAATTACTTGAAGGCACACAACCACCACAACCAAGCAGACAACAAAGGGACTATTCCTGCCAAAGGTGCTACATTTGAAGACCTATATGTCACCTATCTATGTGTTGTTGTGTGCCTTCAAGCTGTTTCTAATTTTTGGGGACACTAAGGCAAGCTTACCATGGCAAGATTTATTTGGAGAGGAGTGCCATTGCCTTCATCAAAGGCTGAAAATGTGTGATTTGGCGAGTATCCATTGCCAAGTAGGGATTCAGTCCACAGTATTCTGTAGTCCTAGTCAAACCACTACACCATGCTGAGTCTGCAGATATCTGTGATGGATGGCAAATAACTAACATCCCAGTCTGATGATTATCTGGAACCAAGTGGCCAAGAATTATTACTATTACTATTACTATTATTATTTATTCATTAATGATTAGCAGATCGGACATACAGATAAAGGAAATCAAATAAAATTAACATCAGATTATAAAAAGAGCATATTATTAATTGAGAATCAAAATACATAGTTTGTTCATCAAAAATTTAAAATTTAAAATAATAATTATAAAATTTCATAATATTTTTTTACAACAGATCATTGCTGCTGCATAAAAGCTGGCCACTTTAGTTGTTACTGACGGACACTGGTCTGCCAGCAAATGGGATACACAAAACTCATCAGTTCTTCCAGGAATACTCTAAGAATTGGATAAATAAAAATGTGATGATAACCATTATAGAAAAGGCAATATAACAATACGTGTCCTACTGTCTCCACTTTGCCAGCTCCACAGGGACATAAATATGCATTATAAAGGATAGCTCAGACAAGAGGGTTCCCCACTTTATATGTGTATGTGATATGTGTTTCTGTACAGAGAGAAATGCATTCTGAAGCCCAGGGGTCTGCAAAAAGTACAGCAGGAGTAGTCAATTTAGATGCTGTCTGTGGAACAATTTTCTGCCCCAATGCCATCAACATGGCAATATGGACTGCCAAAAATGCAAAACATAAAGCAAACAAAAAAAAAACTGAAAAAATCCACTTATGTGTTTGAGAAATGGGTAATTTTTTAAAAAAGTCAAAACAGTGCAGCAGGACTGTACAAAGACAAATGGCCACTCTTGGAGTTTCCCGAAAAGACAATCCATCTCCATCCCTTTCCACCAGAAAAGGGTCATCTGGGGGCACTCAGCTGCAAAACTAGCCTTGGTGACCACTTGCGGCCCCAGATCCATACTTCAACTACCCCAGACGTAGTCTCCTTTAATATATATGTATCTTGTCCATTATAACAGCAGGCATTTCCCTAGTAAAAATAACAAGGAACAGGAGCAGAAGTAACGAGACTGACAATAAATGACATCCCTGCCTCTAAAGTCACAAGGGCAGCTTCCAGAATGCCTTGGTGTGACAGGACTTACCAGCAGTTACTCTTGGGAGTTGAGGACCAAAACAATAAAAAGACTCATCTGGTTTTATATGAAAGCTGCCTCTGAGTGTGACCTGGTTGCTTAGAAACACCAGGATGCATGTCTTGCCATTTTCAGGTGGATCAGATCACTCCCAGGCACAGCCTGCCACATATTCTGAGAACTCCCCCTCCATCCACAGAAACGCTCAGGCTGCATCTAAACTGTAGAAATAATGCAGTATGACAGCACTTCAACTGCTATGGTGCTGCCATTCTACAGAATCTTGGGATTTGTAGTTTTGTGAGACACCAGCACTCTAGCAGAGAATGCTAAAGACCTTGTAAAATTACCAACCCCAGGTTTCCATAGGATAAACTACCAACCCTAGGTTTCCATAGGATAGAGCTGCAGCACTTAAAGTGGTGTCAAACGGCATTATTTTTACAATGCAGATGTACCCTAAGGCAGCTTGGCCTTTCCCATTTCTGTATCTCCCTAATGTTAAGAGAAGAGGGCAAAGCAAAGGCAGTACAACAAGGAACAATAATGTCTTCCAAGAAACCTCCCTACAAAGATATTCTGTAAATGACTGATCCAGGACAAATGAGCACAGAAATAAAAACCTACGCCATCATAAATCATTCACATAGATTACTCATTTTTGCCTTATGCAAATTAAATTGTTCATAGCTTGTGGAGCAATGTGGACTTCAAAACATCTGGTGTTTTAATATCATTGCTTGTTGGATTGTGTTTTAACTTTTTTACAATCAGGTTTTTAGCTCCATCTTTTTTTAGCCTTGTTATAAGCTGCCTTGTAAAGGAGGGGGGGATTGGGAGGGAGGGAGGCATAAAGGAGGGAGGACACAAGGAAAGGGAAGGAGGGAAACCCATGGAGGCATAAAGGGATGGGTAGGAAAGCAAACAAACAACAGGAGGAATAATATACAGAGACAAACAACTACTGGACAGCAGCAGTAGTGGTGAGTATCACTGACAGGAGTGAGTTGTAGTAACACCATAGCTAACAGTGGTTAGCACTGTGCACAAGGAGGTGTGGGTGGCCCTGCTTGTGTAACCTCATCACCTAGTAAACCCTATGATGAGACACCCCAAGTGAGATACAGGCAGGATCAGAGCATTAATAGAAAGGAAAGGAGGGGGGAGATAAAGGAGTATGACATTTGCAAGATTAGCCAAGGGCACAAGAAAGATGCCAACTCAAATAGCAGACACCCTTAGGAAGGCAAATAGCATCCAAAGCAGCAATACACATAAAATAGGGACATGGAATGTGAGGAGCATGAATCAAAGGAAGCTGGACATAGTAAAAATGGAAATGGAATGCATGAACATAGCAGTACTTGGGGGTGAGTGAGTTAAAATGGACAGGAATGGGGCACTTTGAATCAAACAACC